CCGAGAGCTAGTGTCCTGCAGAGTTTAGTTTCATCTCTAATCAAGCAGCTAAACTTTGCAGGACAGTGGCCCTTCAGGACCGGTGTTGTCTATTCCTTTGGGTACCCTGAGTTGAAGTCCCTGCTCGAGGTCTTTCCCTACCCCATTAACATCTCTCTTGTCACTTTCTGTCACTACTGTTCTGTAGACAAAATAGACCCCCCCCCCCCCCAAATCTTTCCCCTAACTAATTGGTAAAGTCAGCCCTGAGAGAAACATCATTTGCAAGATTACAACAACGAAAGCAGTGCTCCATTGGTTATTTTCCTATACAAGTAGGAGAATTCTGAGCACCTTTAAGTTCAATCCTGAAGAGTTAGTGTCCCGGTAAGTTTAGTTCTGACTTCTGACCCTGACCAAACACACCTGAACAAGCTAACCAATGTGTTCAGAATTTAATTTCATTTGTGCCACTTTGTGTGTCGGCTTGCTGAAGAGATACTCAGCTGAAGAGATTAGCGCCGTCACCTGAATCTAACATGTCACAAAGCCTATAGCACCTTTATTTTAACATTTTGGGAGGAGTAAAATTTACATATGTGTTTTCGACAACCAGATGCATTTACACTTGTCCAGTTTCATTTAAAATGTGTCCCAGACCACCCCCTGAAGTGGTTTGAGCGATCAGATTTAAATCCATCTCGAAATCGTTTTGGAGGGCATTTACACCTGTTTTTTTTTTTCTTTTCTTTTTTCATAAATGGATAGCTAACCGATCAGAGAAAATGCATGAAATGACCAAGTGTAAACAGGCCCCACGTGTGCTGGAAAGGTTGCCACTTTTGCATAGTTTATGCTTGCGGTTTAATAATCATTAGAAAACTAAGCAAACTGGCAGCTCCAGTGGTAATGAAAAGATTTATTTTGATCTCTGTCATGGAAATTAGCATGCATAGACCTCAGTTAAAGGGATAGTTCACCCAAAAATGAAAATGTTATGTTTATCCGCTTACCCCCAGTGCATCCGAGATGTAGGTGACTTTGTTTCTTCAGTAGAACACAAACGAAGATTTTTAACTCAAACCGTTGTAGTCTGTCAGTCTTATAATGGAAGTGAATGGGAATCACTGCTTTGACTGACAGACTCACCCCTCTTTCTCTTTTCTCAGGTGTGTTGGTTTGTTCTAGAGATTGGTGGTGA